ACCCACCCACTATGATAAGGACACGCCTCCTCAAGTTTAGCAGTTAAAAAGATGTAAGAACATTACATTATGGTCATGGTTTACACAGCCACATAGAGGAGGAGGAGCCACATAGAGGAGGAGGAGCCACATAGAGGAGGAGGAGCCACATAGAGGAGGAGGAGCCTCAAAGCCACATAGAGGAGGAGGAGCCTCACAGGGGATAATATAGGGAACTACAGCAAATCAGATGGATTTGTATTATTAGACAAACTTTATTCAGTCAGGAGTCAGGACTTAATCCATCATCACTTTGTTAATAGACCTACACTGAGTGTACAAAACATTAGGAACACCCAATCACCGTCAATGGCACAGATACACAATCCATGTCTCAGTTGTCTCAAGGTTTTCAAAATCCATCTTTAATCCTTCTTTAACCTCTCTCCTCCCCTTCATCTATACTGATTGAAGTCGATTTAACAAGTGACGTCAATAAGGGATCTTAGCTTTCATCTGGATTCACCTGGTCAGTCTATGTCATGGAAAGAGCAGAGCTGTGTTCGAATACCCATTCTAACATACTGTATACTACATACTTAATGAGTATATACTACATACTATATACAATTAGTTCATTTTAGTATACTGTACACAAAAGGCATCCTTGAGCATACTAGCGCTTCGCCTGTCTACCAGAAGTTGATGCTTCATAGTCCTCGTCGGATGTGGCAGGGCTTTCAAACTATTACAGACTACAAATGGAAGCACAGCCGCAAGATGCCCAGTGACACAAGCCTAACAGACGAGCTAAACCACTTCTATGCTCGCTTCGAGGCAAGCAACACTGAAGCATGCATGAGAGCACCAGCTGTTCCGGATGACTATGTGATCACGCTCTCCGTAGCCAATGTGAGTAAGACCTTTAAACAGGTCAACATTCACAAGGCCGCAGGGCCAGACGGATTACCAGGACGTGTACTCCGAGCATGCGCTGACCAACTGGCAAGTGTCTTCACTGACATTTTCGAACTCTCCCTGTCTGAGTCTGTAATACCAACATGTTTCAAGCAGACCACCATAGTCCCTGTGCCCAAGGACACTAAGATAACCTGCCTAAATGACTACCGACCCGTAGCACTCACGTCTGTAGCCATGAAGTGCTTTGAAAGGCTGGTCATGGCTCACATCAACACCATTATCCCAGAAACCCTAGACACACTCCAATTTGCATACCGCCCCAACAGATCCACAGATGATGCAATCTCTATTGCGCTCCACACTGCCCTTTCACACCTGGACAAGAGGAACACCTACGTGAGAATGCTATTCATTGACTACGGCTCAGTGTTCAACATTATAGTGCCCTCAAAGATCATCACTAAACTAAGGACCCTGCAACTAAACACCTCCCTCTGAAACTGGATCCTTGACTTCCTGACGGGCGGCCCCCAGGTGGTAAGGGTAGGTAACAACACATCCGCCACGCTGATCCTCAACACGGGGGCCCCTCAGGGGTGCGTGCTCAGTCCCCTCCTGTACTCTCTGTTCACTCTTGACTGCATGGCCAGGCACGACTCTAACACCATCATTAAGTTTGCAGATGACACAACAGTGGTGGTCCTGATCACCGACAACGACGAAACAGCTTATAGGGAGGAGATCAGAGACCTGGCCGTGTGGTGCCAGGACAACAACATCTCCCTCAACGTTATCAAGACAAAGGAGATGATTGTGGACTACAAGAAAAAGAAGAGGACCGAGCACGCCCCCATTCTCATCGACGGGGCTGTAGTGGAGCAGGTTGAGAGCTTCAAGTTCAATGGTGTCCACATCACCAACGAACTATCATGGTCCAAACACACCAAGACAGTCGTGAAGAGGGCACAACAAAGCCTATTCCCCCTAAGGAGACTGAAAAGATTTGGCATGGGTCCTCAGATCCTCAAAAGGTTCTACAGCTGCACCATCAAGAGCATCCTGACTGGTTGCATCACCGCCTGGTATGGCAACTGCTCGGCCTCCGACCGCAAGGCACTACAGAGGGTAGTGCGTACGGCCCAGTACATCACTGGGGCCAAGCTTCCTGCCATCCAGGACCTCTATACCAGGCGGTGTCAGAGAAAGGCCCTAAAAATTGTCAAAGACTCCAGCCACCCTAGTCATAGACTGTTCTCTCTGCTACCGCACGGCAAGCTGCTGCTACTCTCTGTTTATTATCTATGTATAGTCACTTTAATAACTCTACCTACATGTACACTACCGTTCAAAAGTTTGGGGTCACTTAGAAATTAAAATAACATTAAATTGATCAGAAATACAGTGTAGACATTGTTAATGTTGTAAATGGCTATTGTAGCTGGAAACGGCTGATTTTTTATGGAATATCTACATAGGCGTACAGAGGCCCATTATCAGAAACCATCAGTCCTGTGTTCCAATGGCACGTTGTGTTTGCTAATCCAAGTTTATCATTTTAAAAGGCTAATTGATCATTACAAAACCCTTTTGCAATTATATTAGCACAGCTGAAAACTGTTGTGCTGATTAAAGAAGCAATAAAACCGGCCTTCTTGAGACTAGTTGAGTATCTGGAGCATCAGCAATTGTGGGTTCAATTACAGGCTCAAAATGGCCAGAAATAAAGAACTTTCTTTTGAAACTCGTCAGTCTATTCTTGTTCTGAGAAATGAAGGCTATTCCATGCGAGAAATTGTCAAGAAACTGAAGATCTCGTACAACACTGTGTACTACTCCCTTCACAGAACAGCGCAAACTGTCTCTAACCAGAATAGAAAAAGGAGTGGGAGGCCCCGGTGCACAACTGAGCAAGAGGACAAATACCTTAGAGTGTCTAGTTTGAGAAACAGACGCCTCACAGGTCCTCAACTGGCAGCTTCATTAAATAGTAAACGCAAAACACCAGTCTCAACGTCAACAGTGAAGAGGCGACTCCGGGATGCTGACCTTCTAGGCAGAGTTGCAAAGAAAAAGCCATATCTCAGACTGGCCAATAAAAAGAAAAGATTAAGATGGGCAAAAGAACACAGACACTGGACAGAGGAAGATTGGAAAAAAGTGTTATGGACAGACGAATCAAAGTTTGAGGTGTTTGGATCACAAAGAAGAACATTTGTGAGACGCAGACCAAATGAAAAGATGCTGGAGGAGTGCTTGATGCCATCTGTGTTATGGCCTGGGGGTGCTTTGGTGGTGGTAAAGTGGGAGATTTGTACAGGGTAAAAGGGATCTTGAAGAAGGAAGGCTATCACTCCATTTAGCAACGCCATGCCATAATCTGTGGACGGCGCTTGATTGGAGCCAATTTCCTCCTACAACAGGACAATGACCCAAAGCACAGCTCCAAACTATGCAATAACTATTTAGGGAAGAAGCAGTCAGCAGGTATTCTGTCTATAATGGAGTGGCCAGCACAGTCACTGGATCTCAACCCTATTGAGCTGTTGCGGGAGCAGCTTGACCGTATGGTACGTAAGAAGTGCCCATCAAGCCAATCCAACTTGTGGGAGGTGCTTCAGGAAGCATGGGGTGAAATCTCTTCAGATTACCTCAACAAATTAACAGCTAGAATGCCAAAGGTCTGCAAGGCTGTAATTGCTGCAAATGGAGGATTCTTTGACGAATGCAAAGTTTGAAGGACACAATTATTATTTCAATTAAAAATAATTATTTCTAACCTTGTCAATTACTACATTTCCTATTAATTTTGCTATAGTTCCTATTCAAACTCATTTCATGCATGTTTTCATGGAAAACAAGGACATTTCTAAGTGACCCCAATTACCTCGACTAACCGGTGCCCCCGCACATTGACTTGGTACCGGTACCCCCTGTATATAGCCTCGCTACTGTTATTTTTACTGCTGCTCTTTAATTATTTGCTACTTTTATTTCGTATTATTTTATATTGTATCTTTTTGTGTGACTTTTTTTTTGGTATTCTTTTTAAAACTGCACTGTTGGTTAAGGGCTTGTAAGTAAGCATTTCACTGTAAGGTGTACACCGGTTGTAATCGGCGCATGTGACAAATAAAATTTGATTTGATTTGATTATGTTCTATATTCTATTAAGGCACACAGTTGGAGACAGGCTCAGCTGATATGAATTAAGACATTACACTCACAGATTAAGTACCTTTCGAAGTCATCTTTATTTGAAATTTACTGTTAAATAAATCAAACAGAAATCAACTACAGTTCACTTCCATGTTGCGATTGCACACTACTACCACCAGAGAGCAGTATAACACCACGCAGTACTAACTACTACCACCAGACAGCAGTATAACACCGCGCAGTACTCACTACTACCACCAGACGGCAGTATAACACCACGCAGTACTCAGTACTACCACCACACAGCAGTATAACACAACGCAGTACTCAGTACTACCACCAGAGAGCAGTATAACACCATGTTTGCTTCTATACTAAAAGCAGACAGGAGTATTACCATCAAAGTCAAAAACACCAGATGGCACTTGTATTATTTTATGTGTGAGTGTGTGTGTGTGTTTCAGAGGTTGTTCTACCTCTCCTGTCTATGCTTCCTCTCCTCAGCCATGCAAACAACCATTAAGTTAACGTCACATTTCTAATCTCCACCAGATCAATAGAAATAAAGGTGGTGATTAGGTCTGTATGCAGAGAGAGAGAGAGAGAGAGGCTCTAGATCTCTTAAGGTAAAAGTGGACATGAGTACGTGTCCCAAATAGCACCCTAATCACTATATAGTGCACTACCATGAGCCCTAGTCAATAGTAGTGCAGTATAAAAGGGGATAAAAGGGGATAGGGCCCAATCAGCCCATTTGAGGCCCAATCAATGATCTCCTGGAGGCTTCCACAGCATGCCTGTCATGCAGCAGCAGAAGCAAAATAACTGCAGCAGCAATGGAAGAAGGGTTGTTTAAAAAAACTTGATAGGAAATGATGAGGCGCTTGTTAGACGAGTGCAGCAGTGTCTAACTGCAGTAACAGTGGTGTTGGAGGTTTTTCCAAACCGCATGAAAATGCTAGGACAGTTTCTATAAAGCCAGTGCAGTAAAATAGACAGGCAGTTCCCTTTTTTTAAAAACGTCAAAGCAGAGGACAGCAGGTCTCAACGGCGTTTTATCGTCAATCCTTTCTCGTCGTCTAGGATCTCCTCGACTCGCTTTCTCTGTGTGAGAGAGAAAATTATATGAAGATGGGAAGAATTACCAGGCAGAGAGAGAGAGAGAGAGAGAGGGGAGAGAGAGAGAGAGAGAGAGAGAGAGAGGAGAGAGCTAAGAGATAGAGATATTATAGTTATAAGAGAAGAGAGATATCAGTATATAGAGTAGGAGAGAGAGAGAGGGGGGATATAGAATACAAGATCTAATAGTATAGATATTGAGCTATATATCCTTTATCTATCTCGTCTAGTCTCATCTATATATCTATCTTCTTAGACTTCTCTTCTTCATCTATCGTTCCTTGATCTTCTCTATATTATCTCTTTCCTCTCTCTCTCCCCTCTCTGTCCCCGCCGCTATCTCTCGCTGCTCTCTTTTCTTTCCCCCTTTCCGCCTCGCCGCGCGCCCGTCTCCGCTCTCCTCCTTTTCTCTCGTCTCTCTCCTCTCCGCTCTCTTCCCCCCCCGCGCGCGGCCGCCCCTTTCGGCTCTCTGGGCGCGCCTCTGAAGCCTTAGCTCTCTCGCCTCGCTCCCGGGCCCTCTCTTCTCTCTCTTTTCTCTCCGCTTTTCCCCTTTTCCTCTCTCTCCTCTCTCTCCCCTCTTCTCTTCTCTCTCTCTCTTCGCTCTCCTCGCTCTCTCTCTCGGTCTCTCTCTCTCTCGTCTTCTGAAGAAGAGACAGAGCGAGAACAGATAAGAGAAGAGAAAGAGTAGAGGTATAGAGAGAGAGAGCGAGAATACTTCTCCCCCCCCCCGAGATCTCGCTACTTTCCTCTCTCTCTCTCTCTCTCTCTCTCTCTCTCTATCTGCTCTCTTCTCTCCCTCTCCCCCTCTCCCTCTTCCCTCTCCCTCTCGCCTCTCCCCTCCCTCTCTCCTGCTCTCTCTCTCTCTATCTCTCCTCCTCTCTCTTGTCTCTTTTCCTTCTCTCGCCTCTGCTTCTCTCTCTACCTCGTCTTCTTCTACTCTGCCTCTCGTCTCTCTCGCTGCTCTCTCTCGCTCTCCCTCTCCCTCTTCCCAGCTCCCGCGCCTCCCTCTCTCTCGCTCTCCCCTCTCTCGGGTGGTCCGCGTCGTCCCCCTCCCTGCTCGCGCCTCCTCTGCCGCTCGCTCGCCTTGCGCCGACGCGCTGCGCCGCGCCGCGCGCGCGCGTCGCGCGCCGCGCTCGCGCGCGCGCTGGTACTCTTCTCGCGCTTAGCATTCCGCTCGGCTTCGCGCGCGCCCGCGCCCGCGCCCGCGCCGCTCCATCGCGCGCGCGCGTCGCTCTCTCGCTCCGCGGCGCGCGCTCTCTCTTTCTCTCGCCTCGCGCGCGCTCGCGCTCTCGTCTCCACTGCCGTTCCTGTCCGCGTCTTCGTCCTCCGCTTCATCTCTCAAGCCTCCGTGCTTCTCTTCTCCCTTTCTTTTCCTCTTTGTAGCCCCCTTCGCTCTTACTAATCATTCTAATCAAGATAATTCAGCTTCATCTCTATTTGGAAAGCATGAATGACAGGTCTTGACCAGGTATAATAACACTGCAGGTAACAACCCACACACAGCACTCTGAAGGCTACACGGTTGACAGTCTTCTTATGGAGACCCATGGGGGCGGCGCACAATTGGCCCAGCGTCGTCCAGGGACGGGAGACCCATGCCAGGGCGGCGCCCAATTGTCCCTGCCGTCTTCAGGATCGGGAGACCCCTTGGGCGCGCCACAATTGGCCCATCCGTCGTCCAGGGATCGGAAACCCATGGGCGGCGCACAATTGGCCCAGCGTCGTCCGGGATCGGGAGACCCATGGGGGCGGCGCAACAATTGGCCTCAGCTTCGTCGCAGGGAAATCGGAGACCCATTGGGGCGGCGCACAATTGGCCCAGCGTCGTCCAGGGATCGGGAGACCCATGGGGGCTGCGCCCCAATTAGGCCCAGCGTCGTCCAGGGATCCCGTGATACCCATGGGGGCGGGCGCACATTGGCCCCCATCGTCCGTCCAGGGATCGGGGACCCATGGGTTGCGGCTTCACAATGTTTCCCTTCGTTTCCAGTGATCGGGAGACCCATGGGGCGGCGCACAATTGGCCCTGCGTCGGTCCCGGGATCGGGGCCCATGGGGGCGGCGCACAATGGCCCTGCGTCGTCCAGGGTCGGGAGACCCATGGGGGCGGCGCCCCCAACAATTGGCCCTGCGTCGTCCAGGGTAGGGGAGGGGAATGGGCCTGGCATGGGGATCGTAGCCTCAGGTTGGTAGAGCATGGCGCTTGTGCAACACCAGGGCTGTGGGTTCCATTCCCAACGGGGGGGTATAAAAATGATTTATGCACTAACTGTAAGTCGCTCTCGGATAAGAGCGTCTGCTAAATGACTAAAATGTAAATGTAAATGATGCTACCGACCGACCAACTGCCTGCCACCACTGTCAGGGAATGACACTCTCCATGGAGAAACACAAAGCAAAAATGCAGTCCTAACCTTAACCCTAACCCTAAACTTAATTCTAACCCTAACACTAATTCTAACCCTAACACTAAGTAAGATATCCTACATGAAACAAGCTAGTCCAGGGATTGAGAAATTGTACTGCCTGAATTGAATGTGTGAAACGTATTTGTGTTTTCGAAGGCCCTGCTATGTGTATTAGTAGCAGATGAATGTCGTAGTCCCGTGTAGCTCAGTTGGTAGAGCATGGCGTTTGCAACGCCAGGGTTGTGGGTTCGATTCCCACGGGGGGCCAGTATGAAAATGTATGCACTCACTAACTGTAAGTCGCTCTGGATAAGAGTGTCTGCTAAATGACTACATTTTAATCCTAAACCCCCTCGAAATAGCATTTGACCTCGTGGGGACTAACAAAATGTCCCCAGTTGGTTAAATTTTTATTTGTTTACTATTCTTGTGGGGACTTCTGGTCCCCACAAGAATAGTTAAACATGTCCACACACACACACACACACACACACACACACACAAACACTATTTGTACCAGTCTCTGTAACATTCCACTCCTTGTACTCCGTGTCATGTGCCGTTTGTCTTTGGAAAATGATACGGAGTACAATGAGGAGAGCGTAGCAGCTCAGATACTGGCAACCTACACACACAAACACACACTCACACACACACACACACGCACGCACGCAAGCACACGCACACGCACACACAAACACAAACACACACACGCACGCACGCACGCACGCACACACACACATACACACACACGCACACACACACACGCGCACGCACACACACACACACACACCACACACACACACTACAGAGATAGGAAATCGTTGTTGAACCGCCTGTGTGAATAATGTCTCGGTATGTCAGTGAAATGTGGTCAGTATGCTGAAAAGGTTCACCTGTCTGTCGCTGTTGAATTACATATTTACATTTTCTGAAGTGCCTCAGCTATTATTCACATTCCCTTCCCCTGCTGAGCTGAGATAGTTTAAATGCCTTTCTCTCTCTGTCTCTCTCTCTCTCTCTCTCTCTCTCTCTCTCTCTCTCTCTTATAGCTCTCTCTCTCTCTCTGCTCTCTCTCTCTCTCTCTCTCTCTCTCTCTCTCTCTATCTCGTCTCTCTCTCTCTCTCTCTGTCTCTCTCTCTCTCTCTCTCGCTCTCTCTCTCCTCTCTCTCTCTCTCTCGCTCTCTCTCTCTCTCTCTCTCTGTCTCTCTCTCTGCTCTCTCTCTCTCTCTGTCTCGCTCTCTCTCTCGCTCTCTGTCTCGCTCTCTCTCTCGCTCTCTCTCTCTCTCTCTCTGTCTCGCTCTCTCTCTCTGTCTCTCTCCCTCTCTCTCGCTCTCTCTGTCTTGCTCTCTCCTTTCTCTCTCTCTCTCTCTCTTTCTTTTGCGCTCTCTCTCTCTCTTGCCCTCTCTTTTGATCTCTCTCATGAAATGACACTCTCTAATTGTTTTATATTTTTTACATTTTGTCAGGAAATACAGCTCTGTCTCAGGTTCTGCTGTGATGCAGTGGTGGCACAGCCTTTCCTCTACAGGGAGCCAGGTTTTCCTGTGTCTAACCTTCTCAATGGCAAGGCTGTGCTCACTGAGCCTGTACTTTGTCAAGGTGTTTCTAAGGTTTTGATCAGTAACCATGGTCAAATAGTTTGCCATGGTGTACTGTTGATTTAGGGCCAGATAGCACTGCATTTCGCTTGTGTTTCCCAATAGGTAATGTAGTTTTGCTTTGACTGTGTTGTAATTTGGTGTATTCTGATTGATTGGATGTTCTGGTCCTGAGGCTTCAGTGTGTTAGTAGAACAGGTTTGTGAGCTCAGCCCCAGAACCAGCTGGATGAGGGGACTCTTTTCTTTGCAGGGCTTGGTAATGATATGTGACCTTTATTTTAACTAGGCAAGTCAGTTAAGAACAAATTCTTATTTACAATGACGGCATTCCCTGGCCAAACCCGGACGATGCTGGGCCAATTGTGCGCCGCCCTATGGGACTCCCGATCACGGCCGGTTGTGATACAGCACGGGATCAAACCCAGGTCTGTAGTGAAGCCTCAAGCACTGCCATGCAGTACCTTAGACCGCTGCGCCACTCGGGGGTCACTGTATTTTAGATGTTTCCAAAACTGAATAGCTTTTTTAAATTGTATTATTATTAGTGGATATTGGCCTAATTCTGCCCTGCATGCATTGTTTGTAGTTTTCCTCTGGACATGTAGGATAATCTTACAGAACTCTGCATGCAGGGTTCCAATGGGGTGTTTGTCCCATTGGTGAAATCTTGTTTTGCAAGTGGACCCCACACCTCGCTGCCATAAAGTGCATATCGCGCTCTCCTCTCTGTCTCACCCTCTCTGTCTCACCCTCTCTGTCTCACCCTCTCTGTCTCACCCTCTCTGTCTCACCCTCTCTGTCTCACCCTCTCTGTCTCACCCTCTCTGTCTCACCCTCTCTGTCTCACCCTCTCTGTCTCACCCTCCGTGGAGAGCCTGTGTCATCCCCTGACAGTGGTGGCAGGCGGTTGGTCGGTCGGTAGCATCAGTAGTGTTGTGACTCAATAAGAAGACTGTCAACCCATGTGTATCCTCCAGAGTGCTGTGTGTTGTATGTCACCATATCAACGCTGAGACAGAACAGAAATAACGAATAGCTCGAAAGGCAAATATGACTTATTGTAATCTTCCGAGACAGACATGTGTACCTCATTTGAATGCAAAGCATCAAAGACAACACGAGGGAATTCAGTTTTAAAAGTCTACTGACGCACCGGTGCATCAATCTAAGTAACGCAATAAAAAAAGTCCCCATAAAGAATCTGTCAGTTTAAGCTAGAGACATCTTTTTGCATCGGATGAGTCTCAATCCACCGCGTCCGCCGATGTAACACTTCCACATCTGAAGGTAATACAGAGCCAGAGCGCGTTTGTCAGACCACGGACATCCCACAATCGCTTCTTCCACAAAGAAGTCTGTGGCGTCCTACATACTATTATACCATTTTGCTCTACCACACCCCCAAGTGTCACGGGCCTCGTCTGAAGTCTGTAACGCTGATGTACCAACTTCTGTCTGTAGCGTCCCAAACCGTTTTGAGCTACAAACTAATATGACTCTCACGAACAAGATGGCGTTCTCCGTTTTGCTCTACGACCCCAACAAGTGTCACGGGACTCATCTGAAGGTAACCGATACAAACGTATAGAAGTGTGGAGGTCGTTTTGTGTCTACACAAATAAGGGGTTAAATATGTGTCCAAACAAACTAAAGTATTTCCTGAATGTATGAATGTGTTTCTTTACATATTTTTTTCTATTCCTAAATGGGTCCTAAAATACTAAATGAAATAGCTAAATGACCCATGGTATGACCATCTTAAAACAATTCCATATGGCTGTGTAGTATCCCCCCCCCCCAACGGCTTAAACTCTCAGAGGTATTAAACACAGAGAGAGGCTCCTTCTTGCAGCTCACACACACACACACACAAGCATGTACACACACACACACACACACACTGTTTTCTTTCCAAGGGGTTGGGAGGTAGGGAGGGAGATATGGAGGGTAGAGGGTTGGGAGGTAGGGAGGGATATATGGAGGGTAGAGGGTTGGGAGAGAGGTGCTGTTTAACCCACCTGCAGTTTGTCCAGACAATCGATGGTATTTATCTTGCTTTCCTCTGTTGGCAGCAGCAACTCAAGACGGACGGCGGTCTGGGCGCTGGACTGGCACGAAATCATTAGATTGATTTCCTGGGTCTGCATGGACGGATAGACGGATGGAGGAATCGATGGAGGGACGGATCGATGGAGGGAGGGAGGGAGATATGCACAAACAGGGAAACATAGTATTCAGGTCCACGGAGCAGAAACCTGTTAGTGTTGTGGTTCAGACCTCATGGAGCAGAAACCTGTTAGTATTGTGGTTCAGACCTCACGGAGCAGAAACCTGTTAGTATTGTGGTTCAGACCTCACGGAGCAGAAACCTGTTAGTGTTGTGGGTCAGGCCCAGTAATTGACATCGTAATGACTGATGATACCGCTCTGATGAAGAGGGACGGCAGCGGAACGGTAAACTAAATATGACAATAGAATAGGTTTCTCACGTGAAATTTCTAGTAGGCTAGGTTCATTGTTATTGTGTGCAGAGAGGAATTACAGCCTAGCAATGATCGGGGAGCAGTTCAATTAATCTCAATTTAAATAAAAATGAAAAAAACTATGTGAATACGATGACAGAGGTGCTTCCCAAATTAGATTGATTTCCTCGGTCTGCACGGCTGGATGGAGATATGCACAGACAGGGAAACATAATATTCAGACCTCATGGAGGGGAAGCCAATTATTAATGTGGTTCAGGCCCAGTAATTGACATCATAATTAAGAGGGATGGCAGAGGAAGAGGGAAAAACTAAATATCATTGACTTCTTACCACAGGAACTTCTACAGTGGATTTAAAGGTAGGCTCGTTTTCACTGTGTGTGCAGTCAGAATACGAGAAGACGCAGTTAGTGATATATCGTTTAGCAGACGCTTTCATTTGTACGTACGGGGGATCCAACCCACTACCCTGGCGTTACCAATTGAGCTACAGAGGACCGGTTCAACTCGATGTGAATAAAAACCTGTGTGAATATATGGAGACAGATTGCACCCTATTCCCTATCATGTTGTTCTCATGTTGTGTAGGAGCCTACTTTTGATCAGTGGCCCATAGGCATCTTGTTCAAAGTAGTGCACTATATAGAGAGTGGGTTACCATTTGGAACAGAGCAAAAGAGGGAGGACATTCTTACCCTCATACTCCGATACTGCAGTCTCATCTGTCGAACTCTGTTGCGGGCTTCAGCGGCCTTCAGCTGTCCTATGATCAGGTCGTGACGTCTCTTCTCGTCCTCATCCCTCTCGTCGCAGTGTTGATGACCGACAGGTGTCTGTCTCTTCCCCCCGGTCCCGGGAGACTCCCAGGCAGACACCCGCTGCCGAGACATCGCCATCCAGGTCTTCGCCTCTTTCGGCGGCTCCTCGTAGGCCAGGTACCGGGCCCGTTGCTGCGGACACATCCGCTTCACATCCTCTTTAGTCGCGCTTGGCCTCCTCCGGTTGCCACAGGTGCTGGGCTTGTTGTCACTTTTTGACGCCATATCGACAGGCCTACTGGTTTCAAATTAATAGGTTTATCTTACCAAATACAAGTTTGACAGTTTGTTTGCTACTTTCTGAAATGTTGCATATTTTAAAACATTATTGTTTCCACAACAATGTAGCGGACTGTTGCTACAGTAGCAAACAGTGGCCAGTCAGCAACAGTGGGTGCGTTAGTAAATTCAATCTGTAGTGCCCGAGGGCGCTCAGAATGACCTCTGGGCGTTCGTAAATTCAGAGCGTTTCGCTCTCAGAGCATTCAGAGCGCACACTGGACTCTCTGGCCGAGGAGTAGGGTTGAGGCGAGCGTTTTTTGACCTCACAACGGCAGTCAAGCACCCACGCTAACTGGCCACCGTTCCCTGTAGCTCAGTAGGTAGAGCATGGCGCTTGCAACGCCAGGGTTGTGGGTTCGTTTCCCACGGGTGGCCAGTATGAAAATGTATGCACTCACTAACTGTAAGTCGCTCTGGATAAGAGCGTCTGCTAAATTACTGAAATGTAAATGTAACACTAGCTGCTTCCAGACACAAATGAGAGAACAACCTCACTCTGACTATTTTACTCGCCCTAGCAGAGCTGGTTAGGCTGTTTTCATGTTATCCAGAGCGTTGGTGACTATAACTGTGCTGCTGGCAACAATTTAATTACGCTTTTTTTGCAGACGTTTAGTGACACCGGTCATATTCAACGGGTGTTGAGCGTTCGTAAATTCGTCACACTCAGACGAGAGTGCTCTGAAATCGGAGTTAGATAGCCAGAGGAAGCACCCAGTATCAATCACGAAACTGCAGGAGCGTCAATGTCTAAATGTATCATTACGTAAGTTCAGTAAAACGCGAGTGATGCAGTAATTCAGCAACGCATTTTAAGAAAAGTATTGAATGTTGTTATACCTTTCAGAGAGAGTGGGATAATGAACTTCAGATCACCACACACGGCGCCATGTTGTTTACTGCCGTTGTCATAGAAGCGCACTAGGCTACTAAATGCGTGCAGCGCTGGCGTGCGAAACTGTGCCTAGTTGGACGCTGATATGGGCTTTTGATTAAAGTTCAGTTTTTGTCATGAGCCATGGACAAATTATTGATCTATTAGGTTTTCTTCTTGTGTCTGTTGTGGAGGCACAGTGGAGTGAAATTAGACTTGGTTTTGTGTAACAGGGTGGAGGTGAGTGCGGGTGTGGTGATGACTGATGGTTTTTCTCGGAACTGATGGCTTGACTTTATGTAGCAGCTTATGAAAATTAACATAACAGGTTAGGATAATTAACATAGCAGGTTAGGATAATTAACGTAGCAGGTTAGGATAATTAATGTAGCAGGTTAGGATAATTAATGTTGCAGGTTAGGAGAATTAACATAGCAGGTTAGGATAATTAATGTAGCACGTTAGGATAATTAATGTAGCAGGTTAGGAGAATTAACATAGCAGGTTAGGAGAATGAATGTAGCAGGTTAGGATAATTCATGTAGCAGGTTAAGATAATTAGGTTAAGGTTAGGAGAATTTAAGTAGAAGGTTAGGCGAATTAAAGTAGCAGTTCAGGTTAATTAACATGGCAGGTTAAGATAATTAGGTTAAGGTTAGGAAAAGGGTTAGGGTTAGGTTTTGCTTTAGCTAAAATGCTACAACTGTAAACAAAATGCTAAAACACACGATAAATAAAAATAAGAAATAAGAAGAACATATACAGGAAATAAGAAGCTATATACAGGAAAGAAGAAGCTATATACAGGAAAGAAGAAGCTATATACAGGAAAGAAGAAGATATATACAGGAAAGAAGAAGATATATACAGGAAAGAAGAAGCCATATACAGGGAAGAAGAAGATATATACAGGAAAGAAGAAGCTATATACAGGGAAGAAGAAGCTATATACAGGAAAGAAGAAGCTATATACAGGAAAGAAGAAGATATATACAGGAAAGAAGAAGCCATATACAGGGAAGAAGAAGATATATACAGGAAAGAAGAAGCTATATACAGGGAAGAAGAATAAGATATATACAGGGTCAGTTCCAGTACCTTATTTACAAAATATTGGCGCCGGAGAAGATAGCTGCCGTTTTACAGCCCTCTAGCCAATTGTATATCTTATGTTTCACCGAGTCGTGGCTGATCGACGACATGGATAACATACAGCTGGCGGGATATAAACGCTACATCGGCAGGATAGAACGGCTGACTCCGGTAAGACAAGGGGTGGCGGTCTGTGTATATTTGTGAACAACAGCTGGTGCATAAAATCTAATACTAAGGAAGTCTCGAGGTTTTGCTCGCCTGAGGTAGAGTATCTCATGATAAGCTGTAGACCACACTATTTACCAAGAGAGTTTTCATCTATATTTTTCGTAGCTGTCTATTTACCACCACTAACCGATGCTGGCACTAAGACCGCACTCAATGAACTGTATAAGGCCATAAGCAAACAGGAAAACACTCATCCAGAGGCAGCGCTCCTAGTGTCCGGGGACTTTAATGCACGGAAACTTAAATCCGTTCTACCTAATTTCTACCAGCATGTTAAATGTTCAACCAAAGCGAAAAAAAACTCTGGACCACCTTTACTCCACACACAGAGACGCATACAAAGCTCACCCTCGCCCTCCATTTGGCAAATCTGACCATAACTCTATCCTCCTGATTCCTGCTTATAAGCAAAAACTAAAGCAGGAAGCATCAGTGACTCGGTTAATAAGGAAGTGGTCAGATGACGCAGATGCTAAACTACAGGACTGTTTTGCTAGCACAGACTGGAACATGTCCCGGGATTCTTCCGATAGCATTGAGGAGTAAACCACATCAGTCACTGGCTTCATCAATAAGTACATCGATGACGTCGTCCCCACAGTGACCGTACGTACATACCCCAACCAGAAGCCATGGATTACAGGCAACATCCGCACTGAGCTAAAGGGTAGAGCTGCCGCTTTCAAGGAGCGGGACTCTAACCCGGACGCTTATAAGAAATCCCACTATGCCCTCCAACGAACCGTCAAACAGGCAAAGAGTGAATACAGGACTAAGATTGAATCGTACTACACCGGCTCCGACGCTCGTCGGATGTGGCAGGGCTTGAAAACTATTACAGACTACAAAGGGAAGCACAGCCGCAAGCTGCCCAGTGACTACCAGACGAGCTAAATCACTTCAATGCTCACTTCGAGGCAAGCAACACTGAAGCATGCATGAGAGCATCAGCTGTTCCAGGTGACTATGTGATCACGCTCTCCGTAGTCAATGTGAGTAAGACTTTTAAGCAGGTCAACATTCACAAGGCCGCAGGGCCAGATGGATTACCAGGACGTGTACTCCGAGCATGCGCAGACCAACTGGCAAGTGTCTTCACTGACATTTTCAACCTCTCCCTGTCTGAGTCTGTAATACCAACATGTTTCCAGTAGACCACCATAGTCCCCGTGCACAAGAACACTAAGATAACCTGCCTAAATGACTACCGACCCGTAGCACTGACGTCTGTAGCCATGAAGTGCTTTAAAGGCTGGTCATGGCTCACATCAACACCATTATCCCAGAAATCCTAGACCCACTTATATTTGCATACCGCCCCAACAGATCCACAGATGATCCAAGATAGATATTGGTCTCCATTAGGCTATGACATGCAATTGTCTAGTGTATCCAAAGGTTACGAATGAACTCAAATTGAGGTCCATCGTGGCGGTTAGAGGTGGTCTAGTGGTTAGGGGTGTTCTAGTGGTTAGGGTTGGTCTAGTGGTTAGGGGTGGTCTAGTGGTTAGGGTGGTCTAGTGGTTAGGGGTGGTCTAGCGGTTAGGGGTGGTCTAGCGGTTAGGGGTGGTTAGGGGTGGTCTAGTGGTTAGGGGTGGTCTAGCGGTTAGGGGTGGTCTAGTGGTTAGGGGTGATCTAGTGGTTAGGGGTGGTCTAGTGCTTAGGGGTGGTCTAGTGCTTAGGGGTGGTCTAGTGGTTAGGGGTGGTCTAGTGGTTAGGGGTGGTCTAGCGGTTAGGGGTGGTCTATTGGTTAGGGGTGGTCTAGTGGTTAGGGGTGGTCTAGCGGTTAGGGGTGGTCTAGCAGTTAGGGGTGGTCTATTGGTTAGGGGTGGTCTAGCGGTTAGGGGTGGTCTAGTGGTTAGGGGTGGTCTAGCGGTTAGGGGTGGTCTAGCGGTTAGGGGTGGTATAGCGGTTAGGGGTGGTCTATTGGGTTAGGGTGGTCTATTGGTTAGGGGTGGTCTAGCGGTTAGGGGTGGTCTAGCGGTTAGGGTGGTATAGCGCTTAGGGTGGTCTATTGGTTAGGGGTGGTCTATTAGTTAGGGGTGGTCTAGTGGTTAGGAGTGGTCTAGCGGTTAGGGGTGGTCTAGCGGTTAGGGGTGGTCTATTGGTTAGGGGTGGTCTATTGGTTAGGGGTGGTCTAATGGTTAGGGGTGGTCTAGCGGTTAGGGGTGGTCTAGTGGTTAGGAGTGGTCTAGCGGTTAGGGGTGGTCTAGCGGTTAGGGGTGGTCTATTGGTTAGGGGTGGTCTATTGGTTAGGGGTGGTCTAATGGTTAGGGGTGGTCTAGCGGTTAGGGGTGGTCTAGCGGTTAGGGGTGGTCTATTGGTTAGGGGTGGTCTATTGGTTAGGGGTGGTCTAGTGGTTAGGGGTGGTCTATTGGTTAGGGGTGGTCTATTGGTTAGGGGTGGTCTAGTGGTTAGGGGTGGTCTAGCGGTTAGGGGTGGTCTAGTGGTTAGGGTGGTCTAGTGGTTAGGGGTGGTCTAGTGGTTAGGGGTGGTCTATTGGTTAGGGGTGGTCTATTGGTTAGGGGTGGTCTATTGGTTAGGGGTGGTCTAGCGGTTAGGGATGGTCCTAGTGGTTAGGGGTGGTCTAGCGGTTAGGGATGGTCTAGCGGTTAGGGGTGGTCTAGTGGTTAGGGGGTGGTCTAGGCGGTTAGGGTGGTCTAGCGGTTAGGGGTGTCTAGTGGTTTGGGGTGGTCTAGTGGTTTGGGGTGGTCTAGCGGTTAGGGGTGGTCTAGCGGTTAGGGGT